CAAACGGTTTAGCCGCAAACTTCCGTGCCGCATAGCGTGAACAACCCTGTACAGTGAAAATCCACATTTTCCAGGAATTGTAATCTCTTACCGATACTTGGTCTCAAATGGGCAATGGTAGCACTTAAACTCCGACTCTTCCGGCTTGGCGTCGGTGACAATCTGGTGGATCAGTTCCATGTGCACCCGAAAACTCTTCTTGTAAAACGTCTGGAATCGGCAAATCTGGCAAACGAACGAGTTACGGTCCTCCGGTGCCAGATGCGTCTTTTTGTGCCTGCTCAGGTTCTCCCTGTAGTTGCACGCGTACGAGCACTGATCGCACCTGAAAATGTCGCATTGACCAGAAACTTGCCAGTGCAGCTGGACTTAGACGGCTCACTTGTATAGCTTGGTCGTCTCCCCATCCCTGCCATGTAGAACCTTGGTGTGTACGTCCATGTGGCGACGATAAAGCGTGGCGAAGCCGCAAGTCGCGCATTTAAAGCTCTGCATGTCCTCGGGGCTGTGCAGCTTGATGTGCCTGAGCAAACTGACTTTGTGCTTGCTGCGAAAGCTGCACTGCTCGCAGCTAAACAGTCTCTGATCGTTGGGCCCCCGGGTCTCGTGGAACAGCGCTACTACTGAGCCATTAAGGGGCCGTTCCAGCTTCACATTGGGCACTAAGGCGTCAAACTGCGGGATGCTGAAATTGAAACCCCCAGTTAAATATTGATGGCAATATTTGATGTTGCGGTTGGTACTTGAACTGTTCGGGCACGACCCCATCGGGGGGCTCCGCTTTGACTAGAACGTCCCGGCAGAACGGGCTCAAACTGTTCGGGGCGAATTCCGCCCCTTGTCGAATGTTGGCCTCCATGCCAACAGGCTTAATGCAACGTGCCCCGGTGGGCCACAAACCTTTGGTTTGCCTGACTACATTATGCTTAGTTGGGTACGTTTGAAACACCGGGAAATTGTTGAAAACTCATGTTTTTAAACCATAAACAAACTTGCGTCAATGTCAGTGCGGTTCAATCGCAAGTAGTAGCCTGTAATAGGTGGGGCCATCTAGGGGTGGACGAGGTCATTTAGTTACTGATGAATTGATGGGTGGTTCCCATCACCCCCATGACAACTCAATGGGAAAGCCTTGACCACAAAATTAGTTCGGTAAACAAATGTAAGAGGCGCGTTGTTGGCGGGAAGAAAAATGAATCTCGCCATGTGGCTGTCGTTAATCATCACTGTAATCAGCAGCAGTAAAATGGTATAAGTCGTTTT